TATTGAAAGTGTGACAGCACGTCATGGTGCAAGGCTCCTGCTCATCTTGTTCATCTTCACAGTTGCTTCCACTTCTTCTTCAAAGCTGCTCAGCCTCCCAGTCTTGGACTACCAAGAGGCCACATGGCTTTTAGTGCTTTCATTAGTGCTCTCAGATAAGCTGGCAGACATCCCCTTCCCATGATTTCCAAAAGAGGTGTATCATGAATATGAATGGTGCTGATGGATAGGATGCACTTGGTACTGAAAAATAGTGTTCCTTTTTCTTTTTTTTCTTTTTTTTTTTTTTTTAGGTGGTTTCATCCTGTGCTCTTAAATTTAGTATCTATCACCACTTTTCCAGTCCTTTCAGGCACACAAATATGGCAAGTGTTGCAGTTCTCATTTCTGAAGAAGCATGCACAGGCTGACTGGATACACAGTCCTGTGGTGTGGACAGCAGTAAGCAGCCTACTAAGGTTGCAGTAGGTTTGGGTGTAGACATAGGAGATCATGAGATTATTTTTCTCAGTAATTCACTATAAGCCATGGAATCATAGGATGGCTTGGGTTGGAAGCATCTTTTAAAGGTCATCCAGTCTAACCTCTGTCTCCTATAAGCAGGGACATCTTCAGGTGCCCTAGAATGCAACAGAGGACGCATTTAAACTGTCACCAGTTTAAATACAGAAACTTTAAACTGTCTTTCTTTTCTTTGTGAGGTTTATTTCAGAAATATAGAATTGGGAGGGTTGAGTTTGTTACAAACTTAAAACCACTGTAGGTGAAATCATAACTGTTTGGAAGTGTTCCATGTTTTGTTTCCTGATACTTCTTGTTCTTGCTTCTACTGTAAGGAAACCAAAGAGGAAACACAAGTCTGACAGCTTTTTCAGCTGGGCAATCTGGCATTTTATCACTTGAATCCTATGATGTTATAGTAGAGTTCCTTGCACTGATAATTTCTCTGAACTATCAAAGTTCAATGTGATTTTGTGAAAGAAAAGTCCCCTGAAGATTACCAAATAGCAAAAAAAGCCCTGTGCTTGGTTAGGGAAGCTCTTGAGTTGTAAATGTGAAATTTTCTGGGAGAAATATCATATCTGGCCAACTCTTTTGGCCCTTCTTGAAGGCAAGGCCAGACAAACCTTTTATATACCCAGTACAGTTCCATTTGGGTTCCTGATGAGGTGATTAAATTTTTCCATCATCCTCATATTTTTCCTGGTTCACAAATTTTGTAATCTAATCGAAACCCATAATAAAAATATTGAAGCATATCTTTCAAATTCTTACTGTCACTTTTTTGTGTGGATGACATTCAAAACCTTGTGCTCACTTTAAGGACTCCCCTAGTAGTAAACTACAATTTTACTACCCTTAATAAATTATTGCAACATACCGCAGCCCTCAGAACAGAAAATTAATTTTATAGATTAACAAGGAAGTGATCTCAACAATGAAGAAGGAGTGACAAACGGGATGCTTCCAGTTGTTTGGTAAATTGAATGTATGCAATTTCACATAGTTAAATATCAAGTTGGACTATGCTAAGTTTTCAAACTCTAAAAAAAACCTGCAACTAGAGCTGCATAAGCTGCATTTATCTGTATTGAGTTTGTCAACTCTGCCAGTGTTCCTTAAGCTTATATTAAGGAAAAGGAGACATATATCAAGGAAAGACATGAACAGTCAAGACAATGATACATGCATGCATATATACATTTATATATATTTAAGGAAGGTGTGGAGTATCTGTTGCTTAAATGAAGTCTTCCATCACTCCTAGTATTAAAAAATGGTGTGATAAGTGTACAAAAAATGTGAACCAGCATGGCTGGATTGTTTAATAGTAATACATAATATTTATAATATTATATATTAATTATATAATACCCAACAGAACTGCTTGTCAGTTAAGTCACAGTAGTGTTGAGCTGACTTCTCCACATCAGTCTTGTCTATTAAGGTTTATCCAAGTACTCTAGAGGCAACTGCTTCCACTTGGACTTAGAGTAAAAATCATGTCAGTGAAGGTTCATGTGCCTAGAATAACCCTTTGGGGTTTCTTTGGGAGGGGGCTGTTGGCTTTATTTTCATATGAAGAAAACTACAAATAATTAGACTATTTTGGTCCATATCAAGCAAATTTATTGGTATTCTTTTCCTTTCTGCAATTCTGATTTTACAAACTTAAAAAACAAATTATTGCATATTTTCTGATACATTTACTCTGATTATTGAGCTTTTGTTGGATCAAAATTCAACAAATGGGCATACAAAACTCAGATATCCAAGGCTTTAAATGCTGCCAAAGTTTCAACTATTAGCCTTTTGCAATACTAATAATGAAACAATTGTTACCAATAAAGGAAAAAACAGAACCATAAGCTGTATGTGGAAAAAAAGCAGGCATCTTTATGCTTTTTCTTGTAAAAAAAGGTCTGTATGACTTGGGGTATTCTGTACATTCAGAAGGCCCTTACTGTGTTTACAGTATTAAACAAAAAGGCTAAAGGGCTCCCAAACTGCTGTTTCTGGAACAACAACTGTGAAAAACACATCCCCACTCTTTGCTGATGCAAACTAATGTGGAGAGGGGCAATGCCTGGCCAAGCACCTCTGTCCCTGAGGTGTGCAAACCTGGCAAACATGGACTTTGAATTCTGCCGCAAACATGGTAACACAAGGGGCTGGCTCCTGTCAGTAGGAGAAACGTGGGGGTAAAAACTAACTTTTGTTATTATTCTGTTATGTCCTTATTGCAAACTTTGTCCAGGCAGACATCTTCCTCCCAGCATTCCCTAAATATTCTGTGCTGCAAATACACTGGGGAATATAAATTTACGTTATAAAATTTACATTATTAAATGGAGGTGTATGGGTGCATCTTTAAAGACAGATTCTGCACATATTTTTGAAGGTGAATGAAATTTACTGGTTCAAAGTCTATCTCGGGGTTCTACTAGGCTGAGAGGAGGCTGTCACTTTAAGTTTTATGGGGTCAGATGTCTTATGTTTGACTTGAAGGGGAAAATATCAACAAATCAAAGAATAAGCTATTCTTATAATTTCCTACAACCCTGTAAGTGGTCAGAGCTTGGACTGTTTATGTATCCATGCGTCATGGTCTGACACTGGCTAGAAGCCAGGCACCCACGAAAAATCATTCACTCATTCTCTTCTGCTGCAGCTGAGCAGACGGAGGGGGAAAAGAAAAAAAACTAAAAGGTTCATGGGGTGAGATAAGGATTAGGAGAAAACACTGTAAGGGCAAAATATGTTTAAAACTTAAAAACTATGAAGAAAAACAATATTAACAGAATTAAAAGAGGGTAATGAGAACTAAAATGAACCTTTAGCGCAGCTTTGCACACCCCCCTCACCGCCCCCCCACCCCCCCCAGCCCTTCTTTCCTTCACACAACAGTGCAGGGAGACAAAATACGGGGTTTCTCGTCAGTTTGTGACTTCTAAAAATCTTTCTTCGCTTAGGGAGAGGAGTCTCTTCTGTTATACTGTGGGGTCCTTCCCATGAGAGACAGTTCTTAGTGAACTTCTCCGAGGTGGTTCCAATTTCCAGGAGTAGCAGTCCTGCCCAACCTGCTGTAACGTGAGTCCTCCCACGGGCAAAGCAGCCTTCTCGAGCTACATGGCATGGGTCAGTTTAGCTCACGGTGTGTCACTTTTAAGGATGACTTGTTCTGGGTTGGAAGCAAGGGTTCTCTTTCTCTATCTTCTCTCTCTCTCTCTTTGAGTTTCCCACTAGATTGCAGCTTTCTAGCATCCACGCACTCCGGCTGAACACCTTTTTTCACAGGCTGCAAGTGGACCTCTGCCTCCCCCCACGCACGTCATGAATTACAGGGAACCAGTTTGTTCTATTCTAGTCCTCATCATGGCTTGTAGAAGAATTTCAGCTCCCGGAGCACCTCCTGCCCCTCCCTCCTTTCAGCGGCTTTGGTGTCGCCTTGTTCTCCTCACGTGTCCTCGCCTTTTCCTTCTGTTTGACTCGGGAGAGAATTGGTGTCCGCATGTTTGTCCGTTCTCGAGTTCTGTCCACGAGAGGTTCTCAGAGGGTTTAGCAGCACTGCAAGGTTGGTCCCGGCCGGGCTCCACGTCGGGGAATGGCTCATCGTGCCCCTGGCTGCCGCCCGCCTGGTCCCCGCAGCTCCGGCTGCATCTGGCGGCTCTCTTGGTGCCGGGCACCGGGACAGAGGAGCCGCCGCTGCCGCCGCTGCCCCTGTGCCCTCAGCATGGCCAGGCAAAGGCGGCCAGGCAAGCACCACCCGTGCGGGCCACGCTGAGATGGGCCCGGCCGCAAGGGCCTGGCCGCGCCGGGAAGGGCCTCGGTGGCCTCCTTGACAGCCCTGAGAGGAGAGGAAAAAAGGGGACTTCCATGTGGTTTTTTCTTTCTTAAATAATGTCATTACAGAGGCAGCAGCAACTACTTCAATTGGCTTGGCAGTGTGTCTTCTTTCAGAGCCAGCCTGCAATTGGCTTTGTCAGGCATGGAGGAAGCTTCCAGCAACTTCCCACGGGAAAAAAACACTTCCGTGGCTGGTTTCTTCCTTCCTCACCAGAAAATCAAGCTATGGAAAACCAACACACCATAACACTTTTCTTCTTTTCTCTTTCCTCTCAATTCTTAGAAATGCATTTTCTCTCAAATATCTACAGCTTGCCAAGAGGGCTTCCATTCTTCTCCAAAGTTCAGCATAGTTTTTGACTTCATGTGTGCTCTTCCACCACCTGGTTTGCTGAGCTGGGCTGTGCTTCTTCTTCCCCTCATACCTCCCAGACTCCTGACACTGTCTGTGTGCTGGTCTTCTGATCCCAGGGCAGGGTCATAAAAGCCTTGGGACCCCCACCCAACTGGAGCAGGAGAAGGGCTGCCCACCACTGAAGAAAAAGCTCCAAGGTTTGGCACAGACAGAAAAACCATGTCCTGTGTCACTAACGCTTTAAGAAGTGTTTTTTCCAAGGGCGCAGCAGCTGAAACGCTGTGTTTTTGGTTTGCAGAGATCCCCTTGGTCTTGTACCTGTTTGCCCTGATTTCCATCACCTGGCTGTGGGGAGGACTGCACATGGCTTATCGGCACCTCTGGATGTTAGTCTTCTTCATCATCTTCAACAGCCTGCAGGTAAGAGCCAGCATCTGGTCCTTTGGTCTTCTTGCTGACTCACACTGAAGGGGCACATGAAGAGGTTGTCTTCTCCACTCACATTTGTCATTTTGGCTTCACCAGCTGAGCATTCGGTAACTCACTATCACAGTATGGAAATGTGTATTCTGTTTATTTCTCAAACTGATATATGGAATGCTTATTAAAACAAGTGATGCATTGTTTTTTAACAATAACACTATAATTGCAGTAGATTTCATTTCATAGCTAATGCACTCTGAAAGAAAATTACTTGCTTCTGTATGTAGTGTTACTGAGATAATTATACCAGCAAAACTGAAGTATCTGCAGCCCTTGCAAAAATCACCAAGTATGTCAATTTTCTGTAGATGTTAATAATAATAATAATAATAATAATAATAATAATAATAATAATAATAATAATAATAACCACATAAAAAATTTAAATTCTGTGACTGAATTTTTTTCCATTGTAAGCGGTGAGCCTTGAGGCTTAGCTTTTCTTATGTAGCATATATATTGGTAAAGCAAATAACTTTTATTGAAAATGGAAACAAAGACTAAATGTTTATCATTACTAATAAAAAATGTAAATAGCTCTTTCCAAAATTTCACCCATATAAGTGTTCCCACTGGGTTCTTTAGAGCATTGCATTTCATTTATACTGCATATTGCAGAATTATTTGTAGAATAAAGGTTATTATATCACAGATGGGAAAATACCTCTGATGTCTGAAAACAGTGAAATTAGCAGGACATTTAAAATTATATTTCAAAATCTTTGGAGGACAAGTTCTTCTGGACTCCAGTATGCCCTTCTTACTTTTTAAAACAGAAATCTCTGTGACACCTTTTATTTCCCAATATTAAAAATCTTTATACCCCATCAAATAAAAATTAATCAATTAAAAAAGGCATATTTTCACAAAATGGATTTATTTTAAATTCAAAATGTGGGCGTTTCATTAGGCAGTATTAAAACACTTTCAAAATTACTTCTCAGAAATATTTTTTTTAATTGAGGAAAAAATGTATTTTATTCTCCTTGTAATGTATTTGATTTTTCTGTATATATTGTCATTTAATTATTATATAGATATTGACATATATTGGCTCTGCTTCATCAATAGATGTGGTATTTTTTTGGCTTCTTTCCTTAATGATCGTTACTAATATCTTAGAAAAAACCTGTATGTGTCAACAGGCCTGCAGAAGTTAATGCAGCATCTGTATTCACATTACATCAGTGTTGATCTTCCACATCAGGAAGAAAAAGCTGTTACTTTTAGTATTTCTAGCCCTAGAGAATCAGTAAAACCTGAAATATGAAATAAATCTTTTCTTCAAAGGAGCTGAAAACATTTCAAATTAATAGTTTCTTCCTGCTTATTATTTTAAATTAAAACACGTATGTCTGGAGCTCCAGCTTGAACAGTAGTAAACAAAAACTATTTTCAGCGTCGAGGAATTAATAACTTATTCTCCCTGCTTTAAAGGTGGATTTTTATCCTTGGATATTTGTAATGCAAAACATAGTAGGACAGCATCCACTACATTTTATAACTATTTATAAACTGGGTTTTTTACGTTTAAAGCTACCATATACTTAAAAAGAGAAGTTAAAAAAATAAAGTGGCTCTTTCACAGTACTACAGTTCTAATTTTTTTGTTTTAGTAGATGATTGTCTTTGGTGCTTTGTAAATCTTCATAGTGAAACAGGTTTTAAAAATATTTCCTGGAATGCTCCTACATTTTAAATAACCATCCCATACTGACTGTTACCTTTTAAATTTAGGATTTATCTAGTCAATAAATGGAAAAATTGATGTATGATTCAGGTGGCCAGACATGTAGCATGAAATGAAAACCAGGGAAAGGAACAAGGTGAAAAGTCTGTAAATTTCTTTAATCTATGATTTTTATCAAATAATCAGATACAACTAACTAACTTCGAGAAAATACCAGTATGCAAAGTCTTTGTGTAGAGCATAATTATATATTACAAATACTGGAGAAAATGAAGGTTTTGCTATAGGCAGGTGTAGCTTCAGAAAGGATTTTTAGACCATGTTCCCATGATGAGGGGCTGGTCTTGGGCAGTACACACTTCCTGCTGAGAGTCATTCTGACCCACAGGCTATCCATAGTCACGTTTATCCATCTCATGTCCAGTGTCCTTTGAAGATTTAATCTCAGCCCATCTGTTTGTGACTGGGAAAGGAAATGGGACTTGATAGTGGATAACACTTTTTCATAATGATAACAGTGGAAACTAGCTGTCTTTGTTATGCGTTCTGTCTTTGTCAGCTCTCAGAATTGATGATTGTTAAAACAAGGTCATTTTTCTGCAATAAAAGGTGGGTTTACCATTTTTTGGAGAGCACTTCTGTTATACAACAAGCCCTGTTTCAACCAGAAAGCAATTAATTGTTCACTAAGAGGTTTTTTTACAACAGAAAACAAGAGATGAAATAGTTTACAAGAAGCCTGGGACCCTGCTGCTCAGAAGCTATGGGCTGTGTAAAGAAGCAGAACATGAGCCATTAAAACATGTTTGATATCCAAATGGATTCAATACAGGAAATTGAAAGGACGCTGAATATTATCCATTGTGTTTGTTTAGCCTTATGACATGCATTTCCCAGGAAATGCACTTGCTTGAAAAGTCATCCACTCAGTACAAATTGTTTCCAAGCACTTCCTGCCGGAAACAGTTCGCATCAGAGACAAGTTTATAGTAAGAGCTATTCTAGTGCATGGAGGGGAAAGCAACCCTTTCTCTAACTTCACCAGTAAACATGCAAATGGGAGGGCAGTAGCTGATTTACAAAATAAAAAGTACATTTATAAAACCATGAAAGAGAAAGAAGTGTGTTTGGGGATATCTGGTATTTTGAATTCCTTAGCAGTATGCGACTAATTGTCCTCCCCAGAGAGCATCTGTGATGCAGAAACATACTCTTTTGCTTTTGCGTGATAAGTCTTGGCTCCTCATCTTTTCCCTTGTGAAAGAGAAAAAATGTTTACCTCTTTTCTTAAGAATTGTCGTTGTGGATTTATTCACGAGATGTGTGTTTTTCTGGGGTCAGGAATGAAAGAGTAAGCTGCTATCTTGAGTACTTCTCTCAAATATTTGGCAATTCACAAGATCTTTTGCATGTACTATACCCATCTAAACAATCACAAATGCATGTTTTTCATGCAGTTAGGGGAGTGTTTCTGATTTGTGTAGCCGATGTCAACAGAGGCATATTTGCATTCGACGGATCCAAAGTTCAGGACACTGTGTGGACCTCTTCCCATTGTTTGCAAAGGGGTCAGAATGAGGCTTCAGGCCTGTTCCTAGGCTATTCTCTGCAGCTGACTTTCTTAGTATAATCTAGATAATTCTTTGGCTATATTTTCAGCAAACTGCAGTACACACCTCTATCCTCTATAACTTAGGGTGTACCTACATTGTAAACTACACGGGTTTAGGTATGCCACAGCTACCCCAGTCATGGTTTCCTTGCAATAAGCCCCACAACTCTCCTGTCTCAGCAATAATTTAATTAAATTTTTCAGTAAGTAATTTGGAATTGAAATGTTAATATTATGAAATACTGTGGTATTACCCATCAACAGTATAAAACCTCAATTTTTCAGGAATATCAGGAGAAAAAATAAATGGCAACTACTAGTTAACCCATTATCAAAAACAGTGTTCCAGAAACCAATTTGTGTTTGTTTTGGATGGGTTAAATATCTTCTTGTTCTGTGTTTGAGCATACTGGACAACTCAAGCCCATGTAATAAGCATCAGTGTTACATGCAAAGTACTTCTTCCCAAGAAACCACAGGAAAAATATGGAAGAGTTGACTGGTGGTTTTCCAAACTGGGTGAATAGGCTGACTTGCCTAACACAATGTCTCTGTTTAGAGACAAATTTTGCAAAAAGTTCTAAAAGTCAGTTTTATTAGATTGCACTAAAAGAAGATTCAGAAGTTCAGGTACAAATATCTGAAAAGCCTTTAACAAGAAATATGGGCATACAGAAAACAAGTGAACAGGTGCACATCCAAACTTGACTTTGACTCGAGAAGATGAGATTAAACTTCATTAATTAAACAAATTATTAAGATAATTTAAATAGCTAGGACAAGCTAGAATGGAAGGAAAGGCTAGCTTGAGTAGAAAAGGAGATAAGATATCAAAGAAAACTAGTAGGTATTTTGGAAAAAAACAACAAATATTATAATGAAACAGTAGAAAATATACTAAGAGAAATCAAGATGACACAGGTTTGGAAGGAGAAATAAAGTTTTAAAAATACCACATACTATGATAATAGAAAGTGAGTAAAGATACACTGTTTTGTAAATTGCTGCATTATATTATGCAAGAAAGAGTATAAACAAAAGTACAGTTTATAAGCTCATGCCAGTACCAGTCTCAAATGAAATATGTATTTTTTCCTAGAACATACTATTCAACTCTGGGATGTAGCCAGGGGACACAGAGAGGGCCACCACTATAAATAGGCTCACTTCCTTTGTCTTATGACATCTTCTCTAGGCATGAGATATGTGGCAAGCTGTAAAGGGCTGCCTACAGATCTGCAAAAGGTGTTTCTACACTGCAAGTAAGCCCAACAAAAGGCAGTGAAGATCTCATAGTAATGCCTTTTTACTATGATGAGCTACAATTTTATCAAGGATATCCAGAAAAGGACATATGCTTGTGCAAGTAGATACAGTCCAACCAAATCTTCTGGTCAGCTGAGTGCACTAACCAAACACAGTTAAACACAAGCCAAACAATTCAAATACTAACCCAGACACAAAACAAATGACACATCCAAAGCAATTCTCATCTGCATTTTGACATCTGTACAACAAAGCTGTTTCTGGCTTACCTGGGAAGAAAGACAATAGCATACTTAGAGCCGTTCACTTAACCTTGAAAGCTGTTCACCATGTGCATTTTTTTTTAAGTAAAAATAACTGCAATAAAGC